GAATCTAAATAATGGTTAAAATTTAAGAAAAGTAAAAAAAGTTACAGTTGTTTCGATAAATAATTGCAATCAAATTGAGCAGTTGGTCTATTTATTTTTTTGAGTTGACCATTGTATTTCTGATTGTGCGCTAAGAAACCCGGGGTTCGCACAAGAACTGAATTTAACTGAATGAACCTAACGTTGCAATTGCTAAATATTTCCCCAGCTCACACTTCGTCAATTGCTATAAACGTTATATATTTGATTCATCATCTACTTCGCCAACCAGATTTGACACCCAGTGACTATTTCTGGTGTCTGAAATATTCTAGTGTATTCAAATATTGGTTTGAAGCAATTATTATGAGTTGAAAATTGATATTTTTCAGCTTTCGATTCAAGGCGTTATTGAAGGGGTCTGAATAGTTGCAGCGTTGTCGGCCGAAAGTATTTTGTCAGAAAAAGAATATATTTATTTTTTAATAATAAATAATAAAAGACAATTCAAAAGTGTTGCTTTCTTTAGTGGGTGTGAAGCTACTTGAGATATATGTATTGCAATCAATTTTATACGCATGCCGAGTAGCTTTACCATGATTTCTGGTGAAAATCATAAGAAATTGACTTAATCGATGTTTTGTAAACAACAAACTAAAGCGTTTCAATGAAAATATAATTTATTATATGCAAATGAAGAGCTTAACATATTTGAAAATATGAGGGAACAGATTTGCAATTATGAGATGCGCACGTAAGCCCACTCAATAATGCAATCACATCAATGTAGAATAGAAACGTGTTTGTTTTGCAACCAATTTAATTGCATTTCGATGCAATTCGTTTCGATGTGTTTCATTAAATTTTATTATGTCTGCTGTTTGCCTGTACTTTTAGTTTGAGAATAAATCGGATTTATTGCATTTCATCAATACTTGTTTGCTCAATGTTGCCGCTGTTTACATGCATTTGCATATTAATTTAACAATAACAAGTAAATTCATTTAATTATCAGCGTTGCAAGTGTATTTTCGGTTTCATATTTCCCCCTGTCCACTTCACACTTTCCACGTCCCACGTAAGCGTCTGTGCATCCATGAGTTTGCACTTAAAATGCATACGTTTATTTAACATATCGGTATTTTAGATACAATGCTCAAATGTATCTAAGCCGCATGAAAATAACCTTACGTCTGAGTCGGTAATTTTGTGTTAGCTTCTAGATGCAATTGTGAAGCCGTGTTAAAAATAATTACATGTACACATGTGTATGAGCTGGCAGACGCATTGACGACTAGGCCAAAGTGCATTACATGCATCATTATTGACTTTCACGTATCTACATTAAGGCACTGGGAATAGCAGCAGAACATTCAATTTTTGAATATGTCTTTCAGTTGTTGTTAGAACCTTTCAAGCAGTTTGTATAAATAAAAAAATTTTAATTGACACGAAATATAAGATAGGTACATTGCACTTCTCTAGTTACACTAAGGATGGTAATAAATGTTTGTCGCCTGTTAATGGCTCTCTATGTAATATTTTTTTGCTGACTTACTACTGCTAACCCATATTATTACATTAATATTTCTCATAGAGATAATAAGAAAGTTCTTCTACTATTTTATACAAATTAATAGTGGAGTGGAACAACATTAGCACGGCTTTCTCTGTATCACGTTCCTAGATTAGGTTCTATACACAAGAAAGAAATAAACTCATCCAATAAATAATACCCTTACAAAAGAATAGTATTGATATTTGACAATTAAAAAAAATAAATATAATAAATTAATTCAATTATTCTACAGCTGGTTTATGATTTCGTTCCAATATAACACAGCAAGTGAATTTGTTGATGGACTCTCACAGTAAATTGACAAGACTCTTAGTTCGAACCTACAAGTCATGTACGGCTTTGGGTTAGTTGGCTTATGAATGCTGACTCTGGCTTGAGCTTCAACTTTGGCAGGGTGGAAGTTTAATCTTTGGGACTTTCAGTCCCAAAAACTATTATTCAAATAGTTAAATTTAGGAAGCATTTTCAAGAAGACCACTTACTTACTTACTTACTGGTGTCCTCTCTCCTTGTGGAGCATAGGCCCTCTATTCTCTATTGGGTGCTTCGCGGCATATATCATTCCAGTTATAATTTGCATTATTAAGTTCTCTATCTATAGTTCTGCGCCATGTTTGTGCTGGTGCGCCAGGTCTTCTAGAGCCTTGGGGGGTTCCATTGGAATGCTGTTTTTGCAATATGGTTCGCAGGTCTTCGAAGTGTGTTGTCAATCTATCGCCATTTGCGTCTACCAATCTGAACTGCAACGGTTTCTTGCTGTGTACGGCTCCACAAGTCTTTATTTCTTATTCTTTCAGGCCATCTTATACCAAGTATTCTGCGTAAGCACTTGTATATGAAGGTCTGTATTTTTGACTTAATGCGATTGGAAGTTTTCCATAAAAAGCACTGACGATGTTTAATTAATAAAAAATAATAAAATATTGATCATGCAATTCAAAACTAGAATTGCTGTTAGAAAAGGAAAATAGTTTTTTCATCACAACTGACTTTTTTAAATTAAATATAATTGTTACATACTATATTATTCCATATTTATATTTTATATTATATGGTAGGTGTGCACCTAGCTTAACATATTATACGGACACACACTTGTCATTAACTTATAAAATTATAATAAAAGTTAGTCGTTAAGAAAATCTCAAACCGTGTGTTTCTTTTTTCGTGTGCAATACACGACAATAATTAATTAGTTAATTAAATTATAATTAATTAAAAATAATTAATTAAAATAATTAATTAAAAATAATTAATTAAAAATATGTATTTATAAGATATTAGAAAGAAAGTTGATAAATATTTATCCTTTCGGGTCGTTAGAAGAACAACACAAATATTACGTATGGTAATCTCTGTGTACAGGTCCTTACGGTATAGATGAGAGTCTCGTAGTATATATGACATTATTCACTGCGGTGAGCTTTTTGGTTCGATATCGTTCCGTGTGTAGCTGTTCGCTCATTGTTTTTTCGAATTAATGTTGTGATTAAACAACCCATCGAGAGGATGAACTTCCACGTGTTCTACTTAACCTTAGTTTGCTCTGTTTAAGCAGTTATTTTACGGTTTCTGCTTCTCTCGTTAAGTGACGATAGAAAGTCAGATATATATGGAAGATTGTAATTTTTACATTGAATTCATCAAACATAAAAATGTTGCTCCAGTTGACCTTAGAACTCTTCACACTTTTCGACATATTCATGATTAAAATACTTCGATCTTTTGGTAGTCTTAGTTTTAATAATCCACGTTGCAGGTGAATAGGCAGCTGTTCGAAATACCAGTGTATTTACTAATCGAAAGTAGAAAGTAAATTTATTAATGATTCTGATATAATATTAAATTTCTTCGCAATTCCGGCCTGCATTTGTTAACGAAACTTTGTGGCTTAATTGATGATTGTGATATATATTTAATATCTCTTAAAAACTCTAATCTGGCCTGCAATTATTGTCACATTTGATTTATTTAATTTAATCAATCAATTGTTAAGACTTCTGTTCAATATTGTTAGGGATTTTTAGTTTCTAGAGGTGGAAAACAATTTTGTTATCATTAGTATAAATCCTTTCTGCTAGACCTTGTTAATTACATGTCATCTGCAAATCTAAAGTTGTTATCTTCCTTATTGGAAATACATTTAACTTTTAAGAACAGAACTACTTGACATTGAAGGAGAAGTATCGACTAGTATCAACTAGTATTTACTTCTATTTACTTGTTTTGCAACATCTGTGTCTTTGTTACCAGAAAATGCATTGTATTTCTGCATCACATTATTCATAGAGATTCAGATTACTCTGAACTAAGTGTTGAATCTCATGGAGAGTGGGATAGGAATAGTTGCTATTATTTGCTGTACTTGTGTGTATTGCTTATTATTTTATTTGCTACTTGCACTAATTCCGATATTAAGCATATTGATGCAATCATTGTTGTTGTCCTTGGTAATATTTCCATAGTCTTTCCACGTTATACTACTCCACAGATTGCCACGACTGATAATCTTATGTGACAGTGTGTGGGTGTACTATTATTGACAGATATTACGATATACTTTGTTGATTCAATCAATGTTGTCAATATGGTCGGTTGTTGCCATACCAGCAATACAAATTCACAAAAGAAGTATTGTACAGGACCAACCTGCATCAATAGCAACAACATTGCGTTCGTTTTCCATTAGCACGTGCACCAGCCAAAACTGATTGATATTGATGGGAGTGGCTGTGCGGGAGTGCGCGCGGTAGAGTTGTCAAGTGTTCTGCTTATTTGATATTAACACGTCAAACAAAATATTTATTAGCAATGTTTTACTCCATTGTTATCGTTATAGCAAGGCTAAACCGAGCCAAACCGATTGAGTTCCTGAAGTTATTCATTAATTTTACACAAATTTTGTCGTTTCGGAGAAGGACTAGAGCGCGCATTGTCTGCAGGATGTGGTGTTGAAGTGAATCGAACTGATGAATTAATTTGGTACGCGACAGAGACGGGTGATATGAAGTAGCTTGGTTGAATGGGGCTAAAGAACACACAATCTGGCTTAAGATCTTGATTCAACTCATAACTGTATGTGGTGAAAAGGGGTACATTTTATTAAACAAAGATATGTGGACAGAAGTATATATAAAGTATCGTTTCTCATATAAAGCTCATGGGAGTGTTGAAAGTAGAGTGAAGTTGCAAAATCTAACTCAATGGGAAGGATAAACTGTATGTTGAGAATGGGAACGTATTACATTCATTTGTATATTAATTTTTTTCTGCATTAAATGAATAGATTTTTCTTTTAGATTGCAATAATTTGCATAATAAACGGCGTTAATGTGGAAGTGTATAAGCACCTTTAAGTTATCAGTTTTATACTTTTTTTAAATTTATTTAATTCTCATTCAAAAGCAAGTCATAATTGTGTGCTATGGCAGCATTTTCTTACCTTGTGGCTTTCGATGCATTCACAATAGCTCCGTCCTTAAACCACAGAAATTGCATACGTGAGGATCCTTGTGCCGTGCAGGAAATTATAAATTCACCATCTTCACGTATCGCTGATTTTTGGTTAATTGTCATGTCCTGTGGGGAGTAAAATGCAAATTAAAATATAAATAAGAAAGAAAAGAGTGAATATTGCAAAAATTTATATTAAATAATGAAAAATGAATTTTGCACAGCGCACTCACAGTGAAGGGCCTTTGAGTAATTTTGGATTCGCCTACATTCGCTTTGCAGATATGTATCTTTGTGCATCTACACGAGTATCTCATGCACTTGACACAAGAGCAAATTTACAATATTGTTAATTCATGACATTGCCCGTTTGTTGGGCGTTAATACGATTATAACGCCTTCAAAATGGCGAAGTACAATTTTTTAATGAGTATATTGTTTTTTTAAAATTCATTAAAATTATTTACGTACTCCGAGCTCATGTTAATAAATAACAAAATGAAAACAATTTTCTTACAGCATGCGCTACAATCTGTAAGTAGGTAAATTGAGTTTCACACAAGACCGCAAAGTCAACTTATGTATATTAATAAAAGTGTGTGTAAGACTTGTACGTATCTAGGTATATGTATTCAAGTCGTTTGACCTATTTCTAACCTAACTAAATCTCTGTGATGTAGGTGTAACATTATGAATGTATATAGTCTGTTTTGTTGACAATAGGGTCGTATTGACTAGTCAAAGTCAGCGTAGGCTATTTAAATTTCAATGACAATAAGCGTTAATTTCATGGGAAATAGTATTTAAACCGCCTGTGTGAAATTAATTATAATATATTAAAAATTTAATGGAACTACACAATTGATTGGCTAGTGGATCCTTTCATTGAGTTTCATTCTTTCAATGCTATATTGATTGATTGGTTAGCGTGTCGTGTCGTGTTGTTCAATTAAAACGATTTACTCACATAACCGCACAAAACATATTAAAAACTTTTAATGAAATATAAGTAAAATTTTACACTTAAAATTTAATTTGCAATAAAGCATATTACATCTCGCAAGGACTCAAGGATAAGTGGTTGAATTGAGCCATAGCTTTTGAATTTGATACTTACAAGGCAATTTGTGTACGTTGACAAGATTTTTTTGATTTTATAGTTAATAAATTTCACAAAATAAAAACATAAAATCATATCACGTATTCCAAAGATTAAATTTAATAACTGGTCTCTTAAAAGCAATGTGATGGACAGAGTGAACAAAATCGTTTATATTGCTTAGAATAAACTTGTGCTTCTTTATGGTAGTATACCAATTCTTTAATTTACCTTCGGTTTTAGAATATAAGACCATACATTAGTGGTATTGTGCCAGGTGAATGTAAATAACCTGCAATCAAATTACAAAACGTACAAAGTTTACATCAGTCCTGGGTATTGAACATATATTTCATCGAATTATGAGAAACTCTGATATTTGGTGGTCTTAGCGACTATCCTTTCGAAATTTTTGAACCACTGGTACATTTCATTTTTTCGCGCTTTTCTTTTCTGAACAAATAATGCAAAGACTTAAGCGTTAGAGTACTCTGTCAAAATTAATTAGTTGTCGGTGGCTTGCAGATTTTAAACATAACAGCACAGGCACCAATGAACACGCTATTCATAGGTGTTTACCTCAGATAATGTTAAGAAAATCAGTCAAATTAATATGAATGGTACTGTTGTTCAATTTGAGGAGCAAGCTAACATATAGGTATAAGTTATCAGAATTAAATAAAAACACTTGTTTGCACTTATATTTAGTGAAATACACACTGCAGTCACAGATAGTCTAAAACAGACAATAACCTCTATTTGGAATCATGATTACAATGCAGAGATAAACGCGCAGTTAGTTGAGTGAGTTGTAACCGACAAAACCCGACAAATTCATCGGTTAATTTGAGATAAGAAAAGCTAAGTGCGTTTGAAGCCAGAGCTTGAAAAGAAATGACACCAAATGAAGACGAAAAATGTGCTCTTTCTACAAAGCAATACACTATATCATAAATTGAGTAGAACAATAGCTTATATCGCTTCTTTATCTACTGTATTGCTTCGATCAGAATTTCACCTAGCTTAAAACTACTATGGCGACCTAATAAGAATGCTCTAGGGAAAAAGCTTCTGCTCCAATAAATTAGTGATTGCTGAAGCGCCAGCCTATTTTAAAGTCAAATGAAAATCACCGAAATTTTAGGGAAGTATTTGGGTGGGTGTACAATCCTTGAAGTAGGCTATGTTGCTATATAGGGTGTAGCTTTAATTAAAATTTGATGAATTATTAGTTATAAAGTACAATAGCGAAACAATGGATGCAGCAACGTGGACAGCTAATGCACGAGCGCGTATAATCACAATAATAATTATGCTATGGATATCTTGGCTATTGCCTTATAAAGGTGTTACCTTACGAAAAACCAAAGGATTTTTATACTTTTTTAATATAATCTATAGTTTTGTCAAAAATATCTAAATCATATAGATATGTAAGATAACAGAGAAATTTATTCACAATTTTTAAAAACCTTTCCCCCTTCCACAAAAACACTTTCTCCAGATACCATAAAAAGGCTTGAATAAAATGTTCCAGATAAAAACCCAGACCAGATACCAGATAAGTCGCTCTTTTTCTTTGTTTACATTTTTCTTTGTGTCAGTTATTTGCGTCAAAGGAGTTTGAATGTCATTTTGCACAGAAGTAATGCTTCTTCGGCAAAATTGTCGCTATATTCTTCCTAAGTCCGTCTCACTTCTGGTACCTTTAGATTGCGCACGTACTCTGTAATTCGTTGAGGCAGTTAGTGCAAAACTGTTTGTTATTTTTTTTTTTTGCTGACAATTAAGATTATAGCGGAGATGAAACTTTAATTTGTATATAGAAGATACAAATCCTGTATCGAAAATTTCTCTCTCAAAAGATCTCTTAAGATATTTAAGTGACATTTTTGACTTCGTTTTTAAAACTATTCGGTAGGCCAGTGTGAGTTATATTTTATTTTCAAAAATAAGAGTTATTCTTGATTTTTATGTTATTAAAGCACAAATAACAGTTATTTGTGTGTTTTAAAATAAAAAACAGAGTGTAAGAGTTATTTCTGCGTGACAATTTAAAAGGCACATGATATATATCTACGAGCAAAAACCCAAACTAATTATCAATAATATTTTTTAAACTGTTTAGTAAGATTTAGTATTTAAGAAGCGAAATTATTGGATATAAAGGCCCAACTCCTTTATTTGCTATTTATATTGGTGCATTTGTATATTTGTGAGATAAGTGAAAGGACGTCTTATAACGATAATAGTTATAAGGTTATAAAATTTTTATTTTGTCAATAATAACAAATAATAAATACATTAAGACTGAAAAGTTTTCGGAAATTCTCATTTAAAATTCGCGCGCTGTATATTTTTCGATATTTTAAGTTTATGTAGTTTGGCAGCACTGTCCTTAATTACTATGCCAAAAATGAGCGCGATCTGTCAGACGGTTCGTTTACGGCAGCTGTTGAAACCAGTTCACCTCAGTAGTGCGTTGCGAAATGTCTTCGACGGTCGTACGAACGTCCTGAAAGGCTTTGTACCACTCATAAACTTGAGGTTTCGATAAAACTGATTCCCCATAAGCCTTTTGTAGCATTCGCAACGATTCTGCACACGAAATTTCGTTCGAAACACAAAATTTGATGCAAACTCTTTGTTCAATATTTTTTTCCATTGTTTTTTTCGCAACGCACTACCTGAGGTGAACTGGTTTCAACAGCTGCCGTAAACGAACTGTCTGACAGATCGCGCTCATTTTTGGCATAGTAATTGTCCTTAATTGCTGCCAAACTACATAAACTTAAAATATCGAGAAATATACAGCGCGCGAATTTTAAATGAGAATTTCCGAAAACTTTTCGGTCTTAATGTAAGTAATAATAATCGTTATGTTGCTCAAAATGATTATCATCGATTATCATGAAGATATTTAATTTTTGGTGGAAAATATATGTTTCTTTTATTGCATCATCGTCATGGCGAAGAGTAGCAATGAGAAATATGTTTTTATATGAGAACTCGTTCATTGAAATCTTAAAAACCAAGATACTTCTCATTTATTTTTATCGTGTTCTTTCTCATCAGCACTTACAAGAAGGTTTAGCGGTGGATTTTCGTCAAACAAATGGTAATTTGAGACCAGTGTAATGTTACCAATACGTCCTCTCTCCACCATACGCGTGATTGCCTCACGTATGCGGTTTGAATCGCCTTTAATCCCAAAGAAATGAAACGTTATGTCCAAGCGGTCGGTGCTTAAAATAAACAGAGTTAAGATTTCAGTTGAGTTTGAAACACAGGTAAATAGTATTTCCTCACCTGTTGGAAATTAATTCCAAATCACTTATTTTAGTTATGTTAAAATTCCGCAGAACCCGCATCAACTGCAAAAAGAAGAATAATATGTTATTAATTTGAATAAAGTTTCTACAAAAACTAATATTTTATATCTTATGTTTATCTTCTGTAATTCGAACGCAATTAAATTGTTTCAATACAAAAGTAAAGAATATGCACACAAATTTTTTTCCAGTGTATTTTAGTGTATAATGTTATTATTCAGTTTATGAAGATGGAGATTGACAAATTGTTTATGTTGCTGATAACATTACTCCATATTGCTGTAGTTGCTATTGTTGTTGGCATTGCTGTTCGTCTTCGTTGTAAGTGTAGTAATTGTAACTGATATTCAAAACAAATTTATTACGTTTCTGATTATTGCATGACAATTTTTCGAATTTATGTCAACAACAAATCCTTCTCCGCCGTAAAAGCAAAACTAATCAATAAAATTGATGAAAGAATTTATTTGTGCATAAAATTATTATAAAAATAGTATAAATAAAGGACACAGAAGTAAGACAGAACAGAGACCCGACGATGTACACAGGGAAAGACAATGAAGCGTAGGAAACGTTGTTTACAAGAACCCAACATAATAAGTAATAAACGAAGACAAATGACAACATTGTTAGGATAATGGGATGAATGCGTTAAGTTTTTATAGTATCAGTTATCCTTGTTTGCTCTTCAAAAAGTAACTCAGTTAATATTCGTATAAAGAGACGTAATTCTAGTTTAAATCTCAGACAAAGTCATGGAATATATGTAAGCTATCACGACTACAAATGTATTTACGCAAATTTAAATAAATACATATATATGTTCATAAAGTGTTCAGAGAGAATTTTATTATCTAACATGAAAAGTTTAAACAAAATAAAATTTTAGATGACTCCTTTAGTGAGCGGTGCCTCGTGACGTATGAGCAACTTTGTTCTTAGCCCAAAGTAGTTACAAAATGCAGATATTCTGTTTCATGGATATTAAGAAAATTTGTTTTTAAATAATTTGTTTTCTTACGGTGATAATATTCGCTTTTAATAAGTCCATTGCAATGCGGGTTTCTTTTTTTTTGAATGGCATATTTAAATTTGCATATTTATTTTTAAGTTGAAAATGCTTTACAATTTGAACGATTTTGGTGTACTCTGCAGAATTTCTGATATTGAGACAGGATGCGCTGCGGAGGATATTAACACTTTTGATTATCAAAAATGCATAAAATATGAGGTGACGTTGGCAACGACGTGGCAGCTTTCAATATTGTCGAAGGAAGATTGCAGTGCGAATGTGTTTATCGTAGCAAAAAATGAAAACTGCAGCTGCAGTTATGGATGCAAGATTGAAGCCTTGAAGTGGGAAATTCAAGTGACCTGCGGTATTTGCGGATATTAAGTAACGTTGAAAATGGTGTGCACTGAAATTAAGTAAACTGCAACTGTTGAGAAGTAGCAGCACATCAGAAATGTAGCGCCTTTTCTGTTGTCAGCCAAACACACTTACCAATTTTTGCACTTCTAGCAAAATTCGTTACAAGTTAATAAACTACCATATTGTTGGCAATATTTTTTCTTTATTTAAAGAACAACTAAAGTAGAAGTATTATTTTTTCCATTAATATTAATTTGGTGTTATTCCTGCTTGCAAACTTTGCACGCATATCTCACTTTAAACCTTTAACGGCAAATAAGATTTAATAGCACCGCACATAGGAGAATTGCTGTCGCTTTTGTTTGCTTCGAGGTCTGTTATGCGTGTTTTTCAAATAAAGAGCATGAAAAACTCCACGTACTATTGATAGCACCACGTGTATTGCTACCTCCAATTTAGTTGCACCAACGGAAACGATTCTTCTCGGCCGGAGCAGGAGTGCAGCAGGAGTGTTACATGTTTCAGTACAATTTACGCAGCTAACAAAATTTATACAGTTTTCTGTTATCAGTAAGAATGTACTTTTTCGTTGCAAACTCTACTTCTTCAACTTTTTGCTTTTTATTTCACGTCAGTGCGTTGCGATGTGCTCTTGCTGCACCTTATCACTTCACCAGTGTCTCAGCCACTTCATGGGTCTTTCGTTTTCTACCTTTCAGCATTAGAAATTAATGATAATATATTCTTGCGAATAGCACCATTGAGGATTAAACACGTTTTAAATATAAAGAAATATCCAGAATATCTTTGTGCGTTGTAAAAGTCTTCAAAACGCAGTACACCCAGCCATGTTGCGCCAACCGTACCATAAGCTTTGCCAATACCACCGCAGCTGCTACATGTACTGCTGCCAATACTATTCGTCCGTGCTCTAGCTGAGTATTACTGGTTTCCTGTCAACTCACACTAAAACGTTAACTTAAGGTATGAAATCATTAAATTCTCTCGAGGCAACTTAGCAAGCATACCTGGCCTCGTACTTGTAGGTTTGAATCTTTATTCTTCATCTTTAATTTTGGCTACTGAGATGCTCAGCTGCTGCGGCGAGTATGGCTGTTGCTTGCCGGCGTGCAACCTTTATTTTTAGTGTACCACTCTTACGGGTCCTTACAAGGCCCTCGTATAAGGGCTCAATGAAATCATAAAAACTGATATAACTTAAATATTAAACCATTTTTGTTGAGGCACTGACAACAAAAACAACAAAACCAATAAGAACAAAAAATTTTATGCATGAACTTCTTGAAACTTTTACGCTTTTTTTGCCTTGTTTTGTGTTTATTTGATTTCTTACTTATATTTAATTCTCCTTCTTCTTTTCTAATCTTTCTTTGCTCTGCTTTGGTTTATCCTCTTATGTAATATGTCCTTCTTGTAATGTTATCCTTATTTAAATGATTATAGATTATCTTAAGTTCTTGGCACGCACATACGACCACACACGCATTCACACATAAGCACAGGCGAATATATAATCACACACACACACACACACACACGCAGACGGTTCACAGGACTCATTGAAGAATACAGGACTCGTTTTTATTGAAAATGTTATTATATTGTCTCAAGGGTGTGCTTGCTGTTAGGGAAAGGGCAGTTTTAAATTAAAGTTACTTGGTCCAATATTATTATATGAAGACATAAACATATATGAGGTAATAATTCAGAAAAAGAACCTGATGACAATGGAGTTGGTTTTCATCTGCTCGGCTTACAGTTCGGCACAAAAAGTGAAGTCCTTTTTAAATAAATAAGAACAAGAAAAACCAAAGTGAAATGGAAAAAAATGGCATGAAACAAAACACCAAAAGAGAAAACGTGAAAACAAAGCAAATGATTTATTTTAAAAATAATTTACAGTTTTGTGTGGAAAGTTGTCAATGCTGCTATGAAGATAACCACTCAGGGGAGTTTTTATCACTTTAAAAGGTGTAAGGATATGCAGATTTTGTGGTTGATACTTGTTGATATGGGCATTCGCATTGACAACGAATGCACAACTTAGTCGTTCACTTCCAATGACAGAGAAGAGGCCACATCATTGGATTAATACATGCGTAGATGAAAGGATTTAGTCTGTTTTATTAAAGCATAACAAGTGTGTTTTGTTGTGGAAAGAGTTTAACAATGCAAAGGTCAACTAGTGAGACCCAACATTAAGCCAATTACTTTTTGCAAACCCATAAAAATGGATTTGAAGTGTTGAGAGAAAATGGTGTACATAATACAGCTGTACACATAGTAAAGTGGGACTTAAAGCATAAATTACGTAAATTATTTTAATGCAATTCGGATGCTTTTCAACTTGTCCATTCCGTGTTCATTCTTTTCGCATTACAAATGTCAATTTACAAGACTTTACTGCTTTCATTATAATTAGTTTAACTATTTAAAGCTCAAAATCTTAAAAAAATGTTACTTTTCCTCAGTTACTCAGTTTCCTCAGTCCGTGCAGTACTTGCCATCCGTGCGTCTTCTCGGTCTCTGCCTTTTGTTATATTCGACATTTCACAGCAACTTAATATGGAACACGAATTGACTACCACCAGCACCACTAGGAAAGGAAGCAGTGAGGCAGAGGGAGCAGAGGGTAAAAACAAGCTACTTACAAATTGCAGATGTTAAGCCAACGCATTAATTTAACTCGTCATTAAAAATGACAATGACTGTAATGCCAGTTGCTAGTTATCAGTTACCAGTTGCCAGTTGCCAGTTGCTAGTTACTAGTTACTAGTTATGTTGTGAGTTACTCCATGTCGCTATCGCTGTCGGTGCAACGAGTTACAATGCAACCAAGCAAGATACAAGAAATAGACACCGCAATAAGCACTAATGCACAAATAAACAAGTACTGACATTGGCTTTTACGTGAAGTAATGCAATACATATGAACCCTCCACACATCTACGTTCGCGCTCATATGATGCAGCTACCAGTGGAACATATGTCTTGCATATAGCAGACTCACCTCCCCCTCACTTCCGTGAATAAGCTCATTTTCATTTATGCATAGCGACGTATAATAACAAATACAACACTTTTGCCACTTCAACAGAAGGCAAAACGAACAACAACAATTGTTGAAATGAAAACGAAAAAACACGAGAAGCGCATGCAATGTGCACTTTCTGTAGCGCATTTTTGATGTTGCTTGACCAAAAATAATTAAAAAGCGAAGATCTTTAGGGTTTACTTGTCGTAGTTGTCGGTGCGCTACATCATGGAGAAGGCAGTGACGTTTGTCGGGCGCTGCTGGGATTAAGTTGTTAAAATTCAATTAAACTAATAGTTTATAAATAATATTCACGCAAAGCAAACAAAACGAATAAAAAAATGAATATAAATTAAAAAGTAATTAAGTAAAACGGAACTTCTTACATTTACAATGTTCAAAATTATCTCATGAACTGACCAGAATTTCTTTTGATCATTCCTAATACTGGGTACTTAGAATTTTTAAGTGCCACAAAAATTAAAAATAACTGCATCAGAAATTATTTTCAATATTTTTATTTTTCTAAAACACAACATATTCAGTTTTCATAAAATTATAATATGTTATTACGTATATTACTAACTTAACTTTTTACACTAATTTAATTTTTCTGTATGAGTTTGTCCCCTCTCGGGGATTGTGGCCTTGTCGTGGCGAGGGGGCTTAGTAGGGTGCAATGATCCTGAGAGCGATGCCGGCGGTAGCGTAGCTACTGGTAGGGCCTCCCTTGCCGGTAAGGTCAAAGAGGAGCATCTGAAGCTAAGAGCAATCCACAACGGTTCGCGACCCGGATGGTCTTTTTCCTCCATGACGTCCCGGGATGTAGGCAAGATACAGCATCTTCAATCTTCGCTAAGAAGCCCACCGTTTTCTCGGGCTCTCGAGTCTGAAGGTCTGACTGGTGGCCTTAACTGGCAGCCCCAGTACCAGTATAGGATGCATGGGCTAATCACTCGTTCATCTGAATCTACACGATTACTGAAACCGAAACAAATAATTATAACCAACGGCTCCCTTTGATGACGACTATTGGAATGAAAATACGGAAACGATTCGGAACCTGGAATATAAGAACTCTAGCAGAAACATCAAAACTTGCTCAACTTGAACGTGAATTTGTACGTTTCAATCTTTTATTCATCGGGCTAAGCGAAGTAAGATGGAATGGCTGCGGCGAATACAAAACATCCTCCGGCGCTACACTCATATACTCTGGAAAGGCCACAGGCGAAAAAAGAGAAAGTGGAGTAGGCTTTCTATTATCCAAAGAAGCTAAACAAGCGCTCATAGAATGGCAACCACATGGCGACCGAATAATTCTGGCAAAATTTAAAACTCGAGCCAGAACCCTCACATGCATACAGTGTTACGCGCCTACTGAAGTCACCGACCCACAAATCAAGGAAAATTTTTATGACTCCCTATACTCTGTTTTAAATAAATGCCCTAGAGGTGAAATAAAGCTCGTCATGGGAGATTTCAACGCACAAATCGGGCCAGATAACAATGGAAGAAAGCAAGTGATGGGGAAACATGCTCTCGGCACAATGAACGATAATGGGGAGCGTTTCTATGAATTATGTAACACCATGGGCCTCACCATAGGAGGTAGTCTCTTCCCGCACAAACATTTGCATAAAGTCACTTGGGTTTCCCCAGATAATGCAACAGAAAATCAAATCGACCACATTGCCATCAGCAAAATGTGGAGACATTCATTATGTGATGTCAGAAATAAAAGAAGTGCAGACATGGCTTCTGACCACCATCTACTAATCGGTGAAATACAACTCAAATTAAATGCGGTCTTTAGAAAGCCACAATTCAAAAGGAAACGGTTCGACCTCGCCAAACTCGACAACCCTACTGTTCAAAATAACTATCAATCTCTTTTATCGGCCCAAATCCCTAATCCCTTGCCACTAGAAGAAGAAATCTTTGAAGCCGAAACTTATTGGGAACAAGCAAAATGTGCCTTCACTGAAGCAGCACAACAAAGTGTCGGTATTCCTCAACGTCAAAATAATCCGTGGATCACCGAACATACATGGAATCTTATAAAAGCGCGCAAAGGAGAAAAAGAAAAGGTTAACAGGGCAAGAACGCGCCAAACAAAGCAGCAGGCACAAGCCAACTACAGTATTGCCAACCGCAAAGTTAAACGCAGCGCTAGAACCGATAAGCGCAGATGGCTCAACAATTTAGCAACAGAAGCTCAAAAAGCAAGCGAATCACATAGGCTCAAAGACCTACACAACATCACTAAAGCTATGGTGGGACGTAAACACAGGATTGCAAAGCCAATAAAAAATACCAGAGGCGAACTAGTACACTCTACCGAAGATCAGCTAAAAGTTTGGGAAGATCACTACAGAAATCTCCTAGCGGGAAACAACACCTATCCTCAGCAGGAACTATGTAGTAGACACCACGAACATGTTACTCGCAACGATATAAACACAGATGTACCTAACATCAGTGAAATTGAGGCAGCAATAACTCAGCTTAAAGCAGGTAAGTCCGCTGGTCCGGACAATATTGCCCCCGAACTGCTCAAAGCAGACAAAATTTCTGCTGCTCAAATTATTCAACCAATTGTCAACAACTTCTGGTCCCAAGAGTCATTACCGCCTAATCTTAAAGACGGCATCATTATTAATATACCAAAGAAAGGTAACCTGATGGAATGCTCCAACTGGAGAGGCATAACTTTACTAAATGTAGCTTATAAAGTTATTGCTCAAATCTTACATAAACGTTTAACTTCGGCCGTTGAGCCTACACTACGAGCCGAGCAAGCAGGATTTAGGCATATTCGATCATGTGCCGACCACATAAACAGCCTTCGAATAATAGTCGAACAGTCTAGCGAATGGCGATCTCCCCTATACTTGCTGTTTATCGACTTTAAACGTGCATTCGATACACTTCTCCATACCACCATCTGGTATGCATTAGAGTGTAAAGGTATACCGAGTAAATTAATAAATTTAGTAAAAGGCTTGTACT